TTGCTCGACCCCACTTAGAAAAATAATCTGAAATTCTTGTCTAGAACAGTCTGATGTCCGATTTACGTAATTATGTAGAAGCTAAAGTTATAAAACAATTATTCACCGAAGAGGAGGTGGCACGTAGTGGCTAGTATTTACCGAGGCCGCGTATTTACTAGCCACCGACACTGAGATGAATAATTGTTTTAGTATATACTAAAACAGTGAGATAATTGAGCACAAAAATGATGATTTTTAACTCATTTACTGTTGCCAACGATTAAAATTTTGGCGCGCGATGACCGAACGGCCGCGGTCGTCGCTTTTTCCTGGCGACAAATAAAACATTTGAAGGCGTTTGTCTAGCTCTTACGGGGAAGTTTCTTCAAAAGGAGTTGTGAATTCTTTTTGTATTTAAAATCATTCTGTAAAAAAGATTATTAAATTTAGTTTTAAGCTTATTTATGAATAAGTCAACTAAATAAGGTAACGCAAGACTTAAGCGTAATTTGCATTTGTAAACAAAAAACTTTTTCACCGGTTTTATCAATAAATTCAAGTCAAAAAGACAAAGCTTTACCTGTTTGAACTTCCAACCGAACTTCGTTACCTTCTTCATGTATATTGGGAACAGCCTGATTGATTGGTTGTGAAATTTCTTAGTTTGTTACGGCAGCAAACCGAGAAGGCATGCGCATTTTGCTCGCAACTTACGCGAGTTTAGCGTCGCTCGCTCGGAGGAACTGGAGGTGAATCAGTGAACAGTGCAGGATATTCACTAGTTTTCAGCTTCGTTCCAGACCTTTTGTTCGACTGTTCGCGTACTTGAATACGCAAAAATACGGACTGTTCTGCAGTCTAGATATTCACTGATTGAGTAGCCAATCAAATCGCGCGAAAAACACTATCCACTGTTTTAGTATATACTAAAGTAATTTATTATCTTTGGGATTTAGAATATTGATTTTCTAATATATCAAGCGCATTCTTATGTTCTAGTGTAAACTTGTTTCTAGCAAATTATTATCCTTATATTCAAAACATGTAAATAGCAAAATTAGGTCTTCCAGTGCAAAGTGCTTTTGATCACATGTAAATTAAGCACTGTCGAAATAATTTACAGTCGAACCTCTCCTTACGGACACCTCTCTACTACGGACAGTTTGTTTGGTCCCATAAATGCCAAAAATCTTTCATTCCCTACCTCTATAATACGGACACCTCTGTAGAGCGGACACTTGGTTCTGTCCCTTTGGCATCCTTATGAAAGAGGTTTGACTGTATTGTCGACATTAAGGTTACTCGTGTATAGGAAAAGGAAGGCAGATAATTTGTCAGTAAACAGTTAAAAAGGTTTTGAACAGCCAGGGGCCAACAAAGAGCCATGCACCTGCAAACTGCGTCTAATCTAAGTCATAATTTATGACCTAGCAATATTTTCATTACTGCAAATAGTGTCGTCCATTAACAACCACACCGGGATATATCTTTGAAAACTAATACATCTCATCTAGCCGGTTTAAAGGTCGAGGATAGGATAATATTCCATTGAAAAGTCAAAAAGTGTCAAATGTTTTTAGGAAACAGGTGTTTCGGGTATATAACTCTAGCTTCTTCAGTATCAAGAAAACCGTTATTATTACGCCTCTTGGCAATTGTCATAGACATAAAAATGAGGCGCGAGCACGTGTAAATTATAGCGAGCACAGCTGAAATTGATATTTAGTCCTTTAGGTTTGAATGGTTCCTAGCTGCAAGAAAACCCTCAATTCACGCTGCTTCGGTTGGATGTCGGTTCCACAGCATAGAGCCATCCCCGGCCCGTGGAGTTAAAATTTTGCGCCACAGGAAGCTCAGGAGTGTTGTTGCGGATGCGTATACAAACGTTCGCCAAAACGACTCCTGAGGTTTCGTTCAGTTTCACCAATGAAAAGAACTGGGCATCGGCGGCAGGATATGCCCCAGTAAACAAGATTCCCTTGGTTAGAATGTGAAAAAAGTGCACTTTATTTGAGTGTCAATGTATTTAGTACTGAAGTGCTAATTAGGGACACTATTTTTTACGTCTCTTACTAGAGACGGAACCGCCATTTTACGTGGTCATCCGAGCCACGCGAAAGTCTAGCCGCTTGCAGTACAAAGGTAGTACCTTCATTTCTCAGTTATTTTAAGACCCTGAGTATTGGTCAGGCCCCGGGATTCGAGCCCGCGACCTCTCGCTCTGCAGTCACACGCTTTACCGACTGAGCGAACACTGCTGCGGTTGAAAGTTGGTAGAAATCCTTTGACTTCGGTGCTAAACGAGTGGCATACGAGATCAAGACGCACCCTATCAACGGTTGCGAAACTCTGTTGGGGATGAGTACAGCACGTCATGACGGTTAATAGTTGCATTGTTGATATGAGTTAGGCCGGTGGGTTTTCTGGTCATTGTTAACAAAAAAAAAATGCCCTAACATTATGGAGAGAAAGAATTGTAGCCAACAAATACTGAAGGTTGTAACAATTAAAAACACACCTTGCCTTTTTATTAAAGGAAGAACGTTTGTTTAGAACTTCCTCTTTTAAGTTCGATCGAGAAGTAAATGATATAAAAACCGCATATTTTATGCATACGTGATAACATGCATTTATGGTTTTGCCTTCAATTCCTGTTTATCCTGGGCTTAATGTCTTAAAGGCAGCTACGCCCCTGCTTCCTGTATTTAACTGTTAAATAGTGTAATAGTGTATAGTTTATGATTGTATATGCGTATTTTTACATTGGCCCTTAAGGTCTCGGTAAATGAAAACTTTAGTACATTGCTCGATTTTGTTTGTTTTGGAATTTTGGCATGAGTGGGTCCTAAATTTTATTTTGGCAGAAAAAGAAAATCAGAAAGTGCTTTTTAACCCTTCTAAAATGAGCTTTTTCTGAGCTAACCAGCCAAGCGTGGACGTCGCGCTAAATCTTTAGAGCTGATTTTCTCTCACTCTATTTTAGACGCAAAAATCAAAATTCTCCGACCTCCAGTCGGGACAGGTTTTAAGCTATCGCTTTGAAACTTTCAGATATGATGGATAATGATATAGACTCAAAAAGAGTGTGAGGAATTTTCCGATTTCCCTTTGTAACTCATTTTATGTCCGTTTCTTTGCGTAAATCGCGCTCGAGATTCGACTTTTTAGTTTGAAATGCAATAATTCCGCTAATACGAGACATATGCAAATTTCCTCACACCTTTTTTAGGTCTTTTATCTGTCAATCAGATGCAATAAAAAGGAAGTGAATATTTAACAACGCGAAAGGGCTGAAGCTTCAGCAGTAAACTCGATACCTCTGAGTTCGAGAGCAAAAAACTTAAGCGCCTCTTGAAATTCGATGAAATAAAATCTTTTATAAGGTAATTTAGTCTTTTAGCTTTAATTTGATAGATATAGAGGATATTACACGGTGGCGAGAAGATATGAATTTTATGTTCGAGTGGCAAGATTGTTCTTGCCACGAGAACATAAAATTCATATCTTCGAGCTAACGTGTAATGTTCTTTTTATTATATGGAGAAACCAATTCAACAAAAGCAAAAGGCGGGAATCGTGACGTCATTGAACGATACGACACTCACAAAGGTGACATACGGAAAATACGCCACTCGGGTCCCGGAGGAAGTGGCGTATGGAATCTACGAGTGGTTTAGTTCCCAGTAAAACACTCTCCTCCATATAATAAAACTTGCCTATGTAGCGAAAATACTCGCGCGACTAGAATTTTTTCTGTGGGCACCTCGTTTTCCTTTACCGAGATCTTAAGCACATTTCCAGTTATGGGCTTATCTGCATTAGCAGACAAATTTAGGCATTTCCGTTGAAACATCTAAAACAAACATTTTCGGGGGGATATTTTTTAACTTCTATTCTCGGTTTTCACGTGACTGTCACCATAATTCAAACTAAGAAACTATGGCTTCTTCTGAGTTTCTACTTTGATGTGATATTAGAGCACCTTAAAACCTTCATACAAACAAATTTTCGGTTCAAAAGGGTTCTTTGTTTTGCGATACAGGACGCTTGAATTTCTAGGCTTTTGCGTGACGCGTCATTTAACTGGCGGCCGGGAAAGCTCTTATGTGGGTTAAAAACATTACTGATTTTTGGAAATTTTGCTATCTAAACATTCCTTATCTTAGAATAAATATTACTTTAATCTCTATGAGTTCCTCAAGCGAAGAATTCAGGCATAAGTAGAAAAACTCAAAAACAGATGTTTCTGTTGGTTTCCAGCGGCCAGGCCCGGGTTGCTCGAAGCATGGTTAGTGCTAACCAGCGTTAAATACCATGGAAATCTATACATTTTGATATCTCTTAACCATCGGTTAGCGCTAACCAGGCTTCGAGCAACCGGCCCCATATAATTTGTACCCCTGAAAAGGGACACCAACATGGCGTCTCCATACAAAGCTTTATAAATTTGGGTAAAAAGTTTTTCCGAATATCTCGCATATGAACTGTTGCATAGACCTGATTCTTTGCAAGGCTTTTTGTATATTTATCTTCTTTCATTTCCCAGATTCTAGACTTTCTGTATTAAAAGGTTTCCGTGTTTAGAAAAAGACAAAGTTCTAAAAAAGCGCAACAAACCATCCGCATCATTTGTTTTGCGTTAATGATGACAGAACATTTGTCTCAATTAATAAACAACTTTTTCGTTAATGAAAAAAAGCCCTATCTTTTCCATCGATTTCTTAATACTCTGGTTGGCTTAAAGTCAGTCGATAACTGACACCATTATACAAACTCACTTTAAGCAGCTGTGCTGAGGCTTTGCAGGGGGCTTACAATTGCCAATAAAAGTTTTGAATCAAACAGGAGACGCAATACACAGAGCAGTCGTTCAAAGTCACTTGACTGTATACGTACAATTCCACAGATACGTCGCAAACCTAACCATGAACTCAACGGTGAACGGATCCAGCGAGTCTTCGAGCTGCTTTGCTTTGTTATATTCCACTGCGTCAAAAATTGGAGTAACCGTTACCTAGTGTCTGATCTTTATCGTTTCACTGGTTGAAAATTCGCTCATTGTTACGATCGTTTATAAAACGCCGAACTTAAAAAAACCGATAAATTATTTCATTGCAAACATGGCCTTTTCTGATATTCTGTCTGCAATATTCTGGATGCCTTTGAACCTGTCACTCGTGCACACCAACTCCTTACTTATTGGTGTTCAGCTTGGCCAGGCCTTGTGTAAGCTTGTCTTTTTCTTTGGTAACGTTTCCCTTTTCGTTTCGATACGGAATCTGATTCTGATTGCGGTGGATCGATTTGGGCCGTGGTGTTTCCACTCCGTTCGCCACTCATCGGATCCAAAGTAAGTCCCTTCTTCATTCTTGCCACATGGATAGTGGCCGTAGCTATCTCTTCGCTAAGTTTGATCGGCGGCGATATCGTTGAATCCCTAGGGGGAACCTCGTGTGTTATGAAATGGGAGAAAGTATTCGGAGAACCATTGTCCTCTGCCAGTATCATACTAGCTCACGACATTCTGCAGATATACATCCCTGTGCTGTTGTTAGCTATTGTTTACTCCGTCATCATTACGAAGCTCAAGACACAGGCAAACCCAGGTGAACAGTCCGCCAACACTCAGCAACAGCGGAAAAGAAGAAACAGAAACGTGCTTCAAATGTCCATTGCTATAGTAACAGTGTTTGTATTTTGCTGGTTACCATTCTCTATCAACGTTTTAATCATAGCGTATAAGGACAGGTCCACGCATTTGTCGTGTAGTTTCTGGCTATACTTCACTGTCACCGCTGATATGTCTAATGCATACTATGCTATCAACCCGATTATCTGTTTCATTTTTAGCAGTAATTACCGACAAGCTCTTAAAAGACTTATAAAATGTTCTTCTGCACAGGCGTAGATCGCAAAATGTGCTTTTGGTTGAAGATGTTAAGAGTTAGAGGTTTGTAGAACACGCGTGAATAAATGTGTCATGACTTTCAGTGTGTTTTTAGTAGTGAAAATTATCGAAAAGGTCCAACTTAGAAGACTCATGAACTGTTCTTTTGAACGGGCGTAAGTTACAGACATAATGTGCTTTTGATTGAATATGTTAAGATTTAGAGGTACGTGAAACACTCTTGAATAAAAAAAAAAATCACCACGATTGCCTTTGGCGTACTTAACTGAGGATTAATAAAACTGAGGTGTTCATTTTAAGTCTGCCATGACTGCGAAAAGTGACAGCATAGGCCACGTATTGTAAAAGGTTGGGTGGTAAATAAATCTGGGGGACGGACCATTAGAAAAGTTATTGGGAGCGTAGAAGGCGATATTATACAACTGCACAACTAGCAACTGTTAATTAATGAAGAACCGCTCCAAAGTTAAAGAAAGAGGTTCTCCCGAAAAAAAGAAACGAATAAAACGGACAATTACGAACATCTGGCTTTTGAAATTCTAGCACCACCCCGAGGATTGACAGCATTTTTGCGTCGTCAAAAGAAGCAAAGAAAAAACTGCATGCTTTTGTGGCACGTACGCCGTTCGCCCATTGGGCAAAACTGATACATGAACCAAGAAGTAAAACAGGAGTTTAAGCGGCAAGGTGTTGTGTTTTCCACAAAATAAATTAAATGACATTGCCGGTTTCATATGTTTTTATAGACATTTTAATTTTTTGCTAGATAAATTTTGATGGCGTATTTCCACATGCAAATATTATGTATCACACCAGCTTAAAATGTTCGGTACTCATATTGGTTTCCAAACATCTTTTTAATCGATTTCTAAATACAACGACAATGGCTTATAGATCGTTTTCACAGTGACGTCATCAAATTGTAATGTCAAAATAGCGAGGTTTTACGAATTCTTATATACAATAGGTTGAAGACAAACAAAAAATAAATCTTTGCACAAGTTTCCATTCCCGTAGCATGTTTCATTTCGAAAATACAGCAATTTGAACTTCCGAGTTTTCATAGTGGGTGACACCAAAATAGGAATACTGTCTCGTTGAAAACATGTTTCTCCTCTTGATTTTCAGCAGTATAACCATTTCAAGTATTAGAAGGTATGTTTATGCGCACGTATGCTAGTTCTCGACTGAAAAGAAAAAGCTTTTATAGAAAAAAGGAACTCCAGATGATTATGTTGATTTTCGGCGGCCATAGTAACAATTAAAGGAGTCAAAGAAGTAACGAGCCTTGTCTCTTGTTGAGAAAGAACCTGCTAGTTTCCCTTTGCCGACAGCAGACTCTTGGTTCTATAATTTCCCATTTTTAGTTCGATCGACAGGCAAATGATATAAAAACTGCCTATTTTATGCACACATGATAACAGGCATTTATTTTTGCCTCATATTTTCCTTTAATGGAAAGAATAATGGCTTTACAACAAATGATTGACAAGAAAAACGCATTTTGTTATATTTAATCCATTTTGTCTAGTTTTTGCCAGGGGCAAATTTTGTCCCCCGCGCCTTTAAAGATTGCCCCCCATCAGACAAAAATTAGAAAAAGCGCGACAACCATTCGCATTTGTTAGGCGTCAATGATGAGAAAAAATTTGTTTAAATAAACAATTTTTTCGCTAGTGAAAAAAGGTCCTACTCTCTTTTCAATCGATTTCTTAATATAGCCACCTGACTGTATTCTGGTCAGGCCTTGTGCAAGCTTCTCCCTTTCTTTGGAGACGTTTCCTTTGACGTTTCCATTCAGAATCTAATTCTGATAGCGGTGGATCGATTTGGAGCCGTGGTGGTTCCGCTCCGTTCCCCACTCATCAGATCCAAGCTGTGTCCCTTCTTCATTCTCACCACGTGGATAGTTGACGTAGCTGTCAGTTCGCCATACTTGTTCGCCAACAGGATCGTCGAATGCCCAGAGGGAACCTGGTGTGTTGCGAAATGGGAAAAAGTATTCAGAGAGTCATCGTCCTATGCCAGTTTCGTTGTAGCAATCCTCCTTTTGTTTACATACATCCCAGCGACTTTGTTAGTTTTTCTTAACTCCATCATCCTTATCAAGCTAAAGACACAGGCAAACCCAGGTGAACATTCAACCAACACTCGACAACAGCGGAACAGAAGAGACAGAGACGTGCTTCAAATGTCCATTGCTATCGTAACAGTGTTTGTGCTTTGCTTGTTACCGTGCGCTACTACCGTTTTAATCATAGAGTATCAGGACAGGTCCTCGCCTTTCTCGTGTAGTTTCTGGATATACGATGTAGTCACCCTTTTTATGGCTAACATGTACTGTGCTATTAACCCCGTGATCTGTTTTATGTTTAGCAGTAATTACCGACAAGCTCTTAAAAGACTCATAAAATGTTCTTTTGCACAGGCGTAGGTCGCAAAACTGTGCTTTTGGCTGAAGATGTTAAGAGTCAGAGGTTTGAGGAACACTCGCGTGAAGACATATATCATGACTATCACTTTTTTAGTAGTAATTATCGAAAAGTTCTTAGAATACTCATGAACTTGAATGTTCCTTTGTACAGGCTAAGTCACGCAAATGTGCTTTTGATTGAATATGTTAAGATTTACAAGGTACGTGGAACACTCTTGAATAAAAAAAACACTACGACTGCCGTTGGCGTACTTAACTGAGGATTAATAAAATGTATTCAGTTGAAGTCTTCCATGACTGCGAAATTTGACAACATAGGCCACGTATTGTAAACAGGTTGGGTGGCAAATAAAACTCAGGGACGGACCATTAGAAACGTTATTGGGGGCGCAGGCGGGTAACGTACAACTGTACAACTAACAACTGTTAATTTAACTGCAGAACAGCTAAGTTTAAGGAAGAGGTTCTGCCGTAAAAAGGAAACGAATAAAAGGAACAATTATAAACCTCTGTTGAAATTTTAGCACCACCCCAAGGTTTGACAGAATTTTTGCGTCGTCATATAAGAAGTAAAGAAAAAACTGCATTTTCCGTGGCACGTACGCCGTTCGCCCACTGCACTCCTGAAAAAATACAATCCAAAAAGTTAAACAGGAAGTTTAAGAGGCAAGCTGCTGTCTTTTACACAGAATCAATTAAATGATAATGCCCCTTTAAAATGTATTTATAGACATTTTGTCGCTTTATAAATTTTGTTCACCTGTGTTTAAATACGTAAAGGGCGTATTTCTACATGCAAATAATATGTATCACACCAGTTTAAAATGTCCACTTTAATTGGTTATCCAAATGGCTTTAAAATAACATTCATAATAATAAACGTTAATATAAACGTTATAAATGACTCAAATTATTCTTAGGTGGCGTCATAATCCTGCTCGAAGCTAGCAAATTTTGGTGTATTTTCGATCTTGGTATCTTTAAAACTAACCCGTTTTCTCACCACCTGTCTAAGTGTAACTTCATTCAAAATTTGGACTTTTAGCGCTTCCTTGTATATCTCTGAAACGACTTTTTTCGACTCGAACGAATTTTTTTAAAATCGCGCCACATAATCTTCATACTGTATATAATAATGCCTCACAGAAACTTTCATTAAGATTGATTCACTGCAACACCTTGAAATTTCAAGACAAACCTATCCTACTAACCGGCCAAAAATCCGAGCTACAGCATTCAGGCCCCGTCCACACGTATCCGGAGATTTTTGTATCCGCAAATTTTTTTATGCCGATACACCTAGCGTCCACACGTGTCCGCCGTATACGCTCGGTGTATCCGGAGATTTCTGTATACGCTCTCCAGAGTGGAAATTTCTGTATACGCTGTGTATCCCGATACGTGCGGACGCTCGTATCCGTATATTTTTGTATATGCTGACGTCACAGTATCAGAACCAGTCTTAATGCGCATGCTCTGTTGACTAATCCTTTGAGATGTCCGGATACGAATCGGATACGTGTGGACGGTCGTATACGATTCGTATACGCTACGTGTGGACGCAGATATTTTTGTATCGGCATAAAAAAATTTGCGGATACAAAAATCTCCGGATACGTGTGGACGGAGCCTCACTGTTTTAACGTTATGCTAATTTTTCCAAATTGATGCGGACAGTACATATATCCATGACTAGTAAATTTCAGTGTGAGTATTGTCAATGTCTTACATTCAAACGATGCGATAAATTTAAACTAAAATGTACTGGTCATGGAGGTATGTAAAGTGCGCATTATAGTGCGGAGATTGTTTGCTAAACACCAAACTTTAAGTTCCTAGTGCTGGATTTTCAGTGGCTGGTCTAGATCACACAAAATTCGGCTTTTATCAATTTTATTGTTGTCATATTAATATCGATTTTACACACATTTCAATCCATACCCAATTACTGGTGAAAATTTTATAGCTATCGGACAAGGAAAAAATTCCCTTTTAAGGCGATTAAAAAATACCGGTATGGCCTCTGAAAAACTGTATCGAAACACCTTAATAACAACTATTGTTTTCAGGCTTCTCAAGGAGATATAAAAATTAAAGTTTGAAAAGTTTGAATCTTAACTGATTGCCGCGGTGCATATTGCGTTGTACAGAAGGAGAGCAGCGAGCATAAAACTCGCGAGTGGGGAATGGATCGATCCAGTCTTGGAACTGCTTCAAACAGTTTACCGAGAAAAGAAAGAACCACAATGGTGATAAATTGCTAGTGTTCGTAGTTTAAAAAAAAACAAAATTTCTGCGCTCTTGATTAAAAGACTCCCTGTCGGATCACTCTTTAACGGTCTCCAAGTTACACCTTCTCGCGGGGCTAAGAACCACATTTATTTAAAAAATGTTCTTGTCATTGCATTTTTACTACCCATTTGACACAAATTCAACATACGTTTTGAAATGGGCGTTTTGAACACATTAGAATAAACTAACAGCTCTACACTAGTGAAGAATCTAGTAATAGTAATGATAATTAATGAATGTAATGATAACTTCATAAGAATACAATCCTGGTATGTACATGTACTGATTTAAGCAATGAAATTGTAAGCAACAGAGGTTATAGACTTCCAAAAAAGTCCTTCGTCCGATTTCATTCGCGAGGGCCACATAAAAGGGGATGCTCTTCAGTGGTTACTGTATGATATTGTTTAAATTTTGTTTAGAAACCAATTCTTTGTTCTCTCTCTTTGCTTTCCTTGGTTTTATATTGACTGGACAACTGAACCTTGAAAGTGACATTTAAGAAAGAAAATCGATTTGACAAAGTAAATAACTCGAAGGTTCAATGCTTATGAGTTTCTCCTAGCCAATTACAAGACCTACTCAAGCATTGATATGAGTTTTAAAGCGTTTGAGTCACTCTGGTCATTGTAAAAAGGATTGCCACAGCGTTATCAATTGCTAAAATTGTAACCAACAATTCGTAACAATTAAAACCAGTCAAAGAAGTAACAAGCTTCGTCTATTTGTTGAGTAAGAACCTGGTTCTGGTTTTATAAAGACCCGTTTTTAGTTCGATCGAGAGATAAATGATATAAATGAAACTGCCTGCTTCATGCACACATTATAGCAGGCATTCATTTTTGTCTCATATTTTCCTGTTAAGCCTGTTAATTGTTTAATGGCAGGCAGTTTCTCCCCTGCTTCCTGTGGCAGCTTACCGGCCAAATTGTGTACTTTATGATCGTATTGCTAAAGATAACATTTGACACACCTGTTTAAATTGGCATTAATCACGTATTTTTAATCGTTTTCTCACTGTAGCTACATGACAGGTACACGCAGGCTGTACTTTGATGTTACCATGTATGCAGCTATTTCGAGAAAGGTTGTCTGAAAACATGTGCATGCGACAATCCCGAGAAGGTAATATGGGATATGATCAATACACTGTTCCTGACACCGTAGCTGTCGAACCCTCTTTCATTGGTTGCTCTCCTTAAGCACTCGCAAACATACGTCTATGGCCCGTCAAATTTCTTTAAAGAACAGTCAGAACTCAAAATTACCCACAATACTTTTCGGGATTTTCGCTTGCACTTTTTCCGAAACGGCCTTTCTCGAAATAGCTGTATGTCTAACGCGTACTGTGCTAGACTGCGAGCCGTCCCTCTTCAGTCAGTCGAGTCTAAGCTCGGCAGGACTGGAGAGAGCGAAATGGCCGAGCGGGAAACTGGAGAGAGGCTTCGCAGGGGGACTTACAGTTCTCAATAAAATTTCTGACTCAAACAACATAGGCAATATACAGAGCAGTAATTCAAACTTTCTTGACTGCACGTGTACAATTCCGTAGGTACGTCGCTAAGTTAAGCATGAATTCAACGGCGAACGGATCCAGCGGATCTTGGAACTCCTTAAATTTTTTTGCGTTGAAAATCGGAGGAACCGTTACTTACTGTCTGATCATCATCGTTTCACTGGTCGCAAATTCTCTCTTTGTTATCATCGTTTGTAAAACGCCGAACTTAAAAAAAACCGATAAATTATTTTATCGCAAACATGGCCTCATCTGATTTGCTGTATCCAATATTCGTGATACCTTGGCGCCTGTCCAACTTGCACACCAATTACTCGTTTCTTATAGGTGGTCAGCTTGGTCAGGCCTTGTGTAAGCTTCTCCTATTCTTTAGTAACGTTTCCATTGTCATGTTGACTCAGAATCTGATTCTGATAGCGGTGGATCGATTTGGAGCCGTGTTATTTCCACTCCGTTTGCCACTCATCAGATCCAAGCTGTGTTCCTTCTTCATTCTTGCCACGTGGATGTTTGCCATAGTTTTTATTGCAAAAGATTTGTTGGCCTTCGCGCTCGTTGAATATCCGGAGGGAGCCAGGTGTGTACGGAGATGGAAGAAAGTATTCGGAGAATCCTCGTCTTTTGCCAGTTTGCTTCTAGCTTACAACATTCTGTTTACATACATCCCTGTGCTGTTGTTAGTCATTCTTTACTCCATCATCTTTATCAAGTTCAAGACACAAGCACACCCAGGTAAACAGTCGACCAACAATCAGCAACAACGGAAAAGAAAAAAACGGAAACGTTCTTCAAATGTCCATTGCTATAGTAACAGTGTTTGTGCTTTGCAGGTTACCTTTCAGTACTAGCCATTTAATGATAGCGTATCAGGATAGTTCTGCCCATTTCTCGTGTAGTTTCCAGATACACTTTGATGTAACCTACTTTATGATTCACTCTGTTCATTATCGTTTCACTGGCCGCAAATTCTCTCATTGTTATGATCGTTTATAAAACGCCGAACTTAAGAAAACCGGTAAATTATTTCATCACAAACATGACCTCATCTGATTTGCTGTTTCCAATATTCTTCACCCCTTGGACACTGTCACACTTGCACACCACCTCGTTTCTTATCGGTGGTCGGATTGGCCAGGCCTTTTGTAAGCCTGTCCCCTTCTTTGGAGAAGTTTCCTTTAAGGTTTCGATTCAGAATCTGGTTCTTATAGCAGTGTTTCCATTTGGAGCCGTGGTGTTTCCACTCTGTTCACCACTCATCAGATCCAAGCTGTGTCCCTTCTTCATTCTTGCCACGTGGATAGTTGCCGTAGCTATCTCTTCGCCATACTTGTTCGCCAAAGAGCTCTTTGAATCGCCAGAGAGAAATTTATGTGTTACGAAATGCAAGAAAGTATTCGGAGAGTCATCGTCCCGTACCAGTTTGCTACTAGCTTACATCATTCTGTTTACATACATCCCTGTGCTGTTGTTAGCCATTCTTTACTCCAACATCTTTATCAAGCTCAAGACACAGGACACCCAAGTGAACAGTCCGCCAACACTCAGCAACAGCGGAAAAGAAGAAACCGAAACGTGCTTCAAATGTCCATTGCTATCATTACAGTGTTTGTGTTTTGCTGGTTACCTCTCTCTATCAAATTTTTAATCATACTGTATCAGCACAGTTCCATCACGCTTTTCTCGTGTAGTTACTATGAAGTCACCATTTATATGCAGTGGCTTATATTATACGCGTACAGTACCATCAACCTTATTATCTGTTTCATGATTAGCAGTAATTACCGAAAAGCTCTTAAAAGCAGGGGGGAAGGTAACTCTATTGTTTTCCCCCTAAGTTTTCTGTTTGGTCTCTTTATTTTAACACTATTTTTCGTTTTGGCCTTTTTTTCTTTATTCTTACTGCTGACCGTGCTGGTCATGCACTTGGATCAACGTATATTTTAAGCTCAAGTCCGGAGTTTTATCTTGGAAAAGGGATTTTAAAAGCTCTTGACCTGCATACTGGCCAAGCTTACGACCAGAGAAATACCATAAGCTGTCGAGAAATGTCCCTCCTCTGAAACAGCTGAATTTTTTTCCACGTTAGTTGACATCATGACAATCAACACACAGTACACCACAAAATGTACTTATTTACACCCAACACCTACCCACCAGTGACCCTCAGGCGACGGTTAAACTTGCTTTTTGCACATCGTCTTAATCGTCAGTAATATTACCCTAAAATCTCCACTGGGTTTGCCCCCAAAAAATAATTAAACGAAACCTTTTATTGGTTTTCGGGATTTAATTACAGAATTACAGGTGTATGCCTAATACAGCATTAAAATGCGGTAAAGCAACAAGATTCAATGCTCACAGTCTCTCACAAATACCTGTCATTTAGCTTCCTCTTTCGACGCTACAGCTAAGCAAAATTTGAGAGGAATGATATGGAGTTCCCCTAGATCTGAAGAGCTGAAAATACGCACAATGTAAAGTATAATACATCCTTTGATGAACCTCCTATTGGTGTGTCTAAACTCCTCAGTCTTGCTGTGCACTGGCCCTCAAAAGTGTGACCGGTTGTTGTGACTGCCCGTAAAATTTGCTCGACGATAGAAAGGAATCTTTAAAATTCATTACAACACTGGACATTTCATTACAAAAAGGTACTTAATTCTAGTTTTCTATGACCATAGAAACCTTAAAATCTCCAAATCCAAGAAATCAGAACAGTATTTCCGTGATAAAATCGAAATTTTTATCCTTCTCTTTGATGAACACTTTGCTCGCCATTTTGAAAGTCACTGACGCGAGACGTGACGTCATACTGGCAGGCGGACTGTACCACAGATTTCCTTGGAGACACCTCCCCCCCCCCCGCCCATCCCCCCTGCTTAAAAGATTCATAAAGTGTTCTTTTGTAAAGGCGTTGGTCGCATAGCCTGTGTACCGACGTCCCCCTTCCCTCAGAAAACAAAATCTCTTTTCCCGATTTTTTTCTGAGGGAGGGGGGACGTCTGTACACAGGCTAAGGTCGCAAAAATGTGCTTTTTGTTGATAATGTTTAGAGATAGAGGTTCGTGGAACACGCGCCTGAATAAAAGTGATCATGACTATCAGTTTATTTTTAGTAGTATTATCGAAAAAATCTTAGAAGACTCATGAAAATTAAAAGTTCTTTTGTACAGTCGTAAGTCGCAAAAATGTGCTTTTGATAGAATACGTTAAGAGTTAGAGGTACGTGGAACACTCGTGGATAAAAAATCACCACGACTGCCGTCGGCGCACTTTTAAACAGGGGCATCCAACGAGAATATAGTTCAAAACCACTTAAACATGGCATTGTTGAACGTATTTTAGTATTTAAACGGTAGATATAGGCATATTTTCATCCCCTAAAAATATTTCATCTGTTCGGATTTCCTAGCTGAAAGTCTAGTGATCCGAAAATTATAGAGATCAAAACTTACCTTTTCGAAAGTTTCAGCCAGAAAAAAGGCTCCCAAAAAATTCTAGGTGACCTTTTTAGGGTAACAATCCGTTAAAAATGGGCAATTATACGATTTTGGGGGGGTTCGAAAATCCTAGGAGAGGCAGGCAAGCAAGAAATTTTACAACAACTGTTTCGAAATTTCTAGATACCAAATCGTCTTCCGAACAGATATTTTCCACAAATTGTCGTTGGGTGCCCCTGTGTTAAAACTGAGGATTAATGATAACATGTGTTTAGTTTAAGTCACCCATGACTGCGAAATGTGACAACATAGGCCACGTATTGTTAAAGGCTGGGTCGTAAATAAAACTCAGAAACGGACCATTACAAACGTCATTGGTAGCGTAGGCGGCGATATACAACTGTACAACTAACAACTGTAAATTACTGCAGAACCGCTAAGTTAAAGGAAGAGGTTCTGCCGTAAAAAGGAAACGAATAAAAGGGACAATTATAACAATCTGTTGAAATTTTTGCGCCACCCCAAGGTTTGACAGCATTTTTGCGTTGTCAAAAGAAGCAAAGAAAAAAATGCATTTTCTTGTGGCACGTACGCCCTTCAGCGTCCACTGCAAAATACAATTCAAAAACTTAAACAGGAAGTTTAAGAGGCAAGGTGTTGTCTTTTACACAAAATCAATTAAATGATAATGCCCCTTTGAAATGTTGTTGTCGCTTTATAAATTTTGGTCACCTATGTTTAAATACGTAAAGGGCGTATTTCTACGTGCAAATAATATGTATCACCAGAGTTTAAAATGTCCACTCAATAAGGGAACTGGTCAAAACTATATTACATGCTAGGGACCCATCACAATAAGTCGAGACTACTGTCTCTTCCTATAGCCCCCTCCCCCTTTCCAGATATCCATGGCATCTTCCATAGCCCCCCTCCCCTTCTCTTAACAGTGGCCCCACTTTCATCATGGGGAGACCCATGGTATCTGCTATGACCCCACCTCCCTTGATAGGAGACCCATGGTATCTGCTATGACCCCACCTCCTTTCAAAGGAGACCCATGGTATCTGCTATGACCCCACCTCCTTTCAAAGGAGACCCATGGTATCTGCTATGACCCCACCTACCTTGATAGGAGACCCATGGTATCTTCTATGACCCCACCTCCCTTGATAGGAGACCCATGGTATCTGCTATAACCCCACCTCCTTTCAAAGGAGACCCATGGTATCTGCTATGACCCCACCTCCCTTGATAGGAGACCCATGGTATCTTCTATGACCCCACCTCCCTTGATAGGAGACCCATGGTATCTGCTATAACCCCACCTCCCTTGATAGGAGACCCATGGTATCTGCTATGACCCCACCTCCCTTGATAGGAGACCCATGGTATCTGCTATGACCCCACCTCCCTTGATAGGAGACCCATGGTATCTGCTATGACCCCACCTCCCTTAAAAAGAGACCCATGGTATCTGGTACAGCCCCCCCTGCCCCCTTACCAATTAAAAGTTATGAGTTTTCACTGTTTTTTTTTGTTGGAAAAAAATGAAAACTAATTTTTATGAGTTGGGGACCACTTTGAAATATTTAGGAGGCAAAAGACTCTTGGGGAAAAAACCTACTTTCATACCCTGTGTACATGAGAGTATAAACAACCTTTTGCATCTATATGAAGTTATGTTTTATTATACTGCTTCGCAATGATGCATCATTGTAATGATGTTGGATATAATTAACTTAATCTTCGAATATTTATACAACGATTTGCCAATCACTTGTTTGCACATGAATTACTATACCGGTCCTCACCCTAAGGCGATACATTAACATCATCATATCTAACATCGATAAACAAAACTGATTATTTGATAATGTTACTATACAATTAGCAGTAGCTATCAATTGCTAATCCTTCACTAGCTGTTCCATATTGGAATTGAAGGGCTGCCCCGTACGCTTCCTTTTCATCTTAAGATATGTAAACCAGTGTAACGTTTTAAGGCGTTATTAGAATTGAAAGTTAAACAAAGCAATTGCAATATGTACAGTGATAACAGAACCTTCTCAATGTAATTAAAAATGTCACAGAGTTAAAGTTTCCCTGTGCTCTCGTGTGACAATAGTTACGTTTTCAGTTTGGCATAGATTTGTTACACACGTATGACTTTTATAATCCTCTACCTTGTTTACCAAGTTATAATTCTTATTCCTCACATGCTACTGATACATCACAAAACTTGGCAACACGGTTACATGTATAGCATTAGATTCGGGATTATTGAAAGCAAATTTCAATAAAACATGTTATTTATTCTAAACAATTTCCGATTTTTTGATCCCTACAAAGTTGCGCTTTGATTTCTTTTCATCAGCAATTTCACTGGAGTTAAGTGAGACGCAGAAGGTCAAGAAAAATTGAAAAAAATGAAACAGCAAACTTTGCAAACGTCTGTAAACTCCTTAAATGTTTCGTAACTAAAGTTTTGGTATTTTGTAAAAAAGCGACTCTCAAACTTGGTCATTTTGCAAATTAAACGGTTCTCTTTCGAGAATATATTCGTTTGGGTGTTTACCCATAAGAGACCACATGTTAATATTCCCCTGTGTATTTATATTTCTTTTTAACTGCTAACCCTAGCCTTGAGATGATACATTAACATGGTTGTGACTCAAACAAAGAATTTAACTCCCAACTGAGAAAGTTGTATTGGGTAAACATTTCGTCCAAGTGAATAATATAATAAGGTCTATTTTCGATGGAAAGTGCGCATGACTAACAAAGTAGTCAGCGCTTTTACGAGGATTCTATAACGGTGTTTATGACGGAGGAAAGCAACAAGAAATCTTCAGTCAGCCCGGTATTACTCTGAGCTGTGCTTTGGGCCTCCTGAATCGGTTTTGGTGGAAGCCACTTCTTTTTCTCGAGCCCTCGCAAGTCGCTCTTTCACGTCTTTGGTACTTCCACTTGTTGGTAAAGAGTGGACGTCTCTGAGCTCTTTTTCCACGGAAACTCGGTTCATTTTCTCAATTTCTCTTCCTACGATGACTTGACATTTAGTTGAGTGTTCCATAATTCGTGAAACTAAGTCGTATTTGACTCCTGTCACTCTCCACGGACAAACCACATTGCAGCAACTGCAGATTTCTCTAAGAGTCTCTGTTAACCTCGGAATTCTTTCACTGTGAAGTTTATCGGGAGACAACTTCTCATTCAGAGAAATTGGCAGCTTCTGCCTTTCCTTTGCTTTCTCCTTTTCTAAGTGCTTTCTTACTTCTTCTTTTAGACTTTCCTCAGGACAGGGAAACACCTTCTGAAAATCTTCCATATCCTTTTCAGTCAAGCCGTGTCTGTGCGTAAACACAACTTCAAGAGCATTCGATGGTAAAAATAGTCCATTTGACGATAGCGCTCTTCATCTACAGGAATTTCTGCGAATAGGTTAAGGCCAGCTAGTCTGATTTCCAATGCTTCCTCATCATTCAAAAGTTCTTGTACCAATCTTGAATTTTCGTAGTGTTTTATGTTCGTTGTTGATGGTTTTGGTGTCTGGGGTACACCAAGGGGCAACATTCTTGTGCCACAACAATTTGTATCACCGCATGCTCTTCTTTCCTCGTAGTAGCCACTTGTTGAAATTTGAGCATGTTGGTCATACCATTTGAGGTTTTGACGGATCCAATCGAATCTTTCGGATGTTTCCTTGTCCTCTCTACTAGCTTTACAGTACGCTTGGATATCAGCCTCCAGAAGGTGAGACAGTGGAAGTTGATAAAAGCTCAAAGGAGTTTTGGCAAAAATGGTTTTGCCAAAACAGGGAAAGCCATTCCATCTACTGGCTAGTTCTTTAGCCCCGTACCACATATTCATTTCTGCCAGGAACTCATCGCCTAGTGAGGTGGCTATGCTTTTAATTTTCTTAATTTCATCTTGGTCAACAGATCTTTCCTGCAAGTCGCCTTCTAGCTTCGTTATACAATCTTCAGCAGTCTTGGAGGTGGTATTTGAGATGGAGGATCCTATTGAAGCAGCACGACCCAACATTGAATTTCCCCTCTCTGCTTCATTAGCCACACTGTCCCTTTCCGCTCTTCTTTGGATACAAGCATGGGCGTTCAATTCCATGCGGAATTCTATTGCTGCTGCGATTTTTGTTGCAAGATTCGACTGCTTCTGATCTGGTCCTCCATCTACTAGGCGATAGTTAAAAGGCCTTGGTTCGCAGGCTAAATAGATTTCTCGTCCGTCGGCAAGGCATTCATAGCTTGACAACAGCTCTATGACATCCAGAGATGAGGCAGAGGCTTGATCAATGTTGTCCTCAAGGAAAAGATCCTCACTTAACTCCAGGCGTTCTGCAATTTCCAACATTAAAGATGCTCCATTCATCTCCCTCAAGTAAACCATCTCTTTATTGGCGTTTGGGCCAATTGAAAAGTCATCCATCAGTTTAGTAGTTCTTTGCAAACAGGACAATCCATCTAGTGTTACATAACTTGTGCCTAGTTCATTTAGCGGGAAACCGCTTGTCCTAATGATGACATGATCAATGACTCTTTGGAAAGCATTAATGAATTTAATTCGACCCACGTTCTCTACTTCAAATGCACATTCTTCTAATCCATCTTGTGTGAGAGCGTTTTTCATAGCGAGCATGAGTTCATACGCCTCTTGTTCCGTTCCAGTCGCCAAATCATTGACTTGAATGGATAACTGCTGCAGCCTTTCTTTTTGTAAGGTATGTAGAAGCTTCTCCAACATTTGTGACGGATTCTTCTCGTAAATCGGAATAAGGGACAGTGGTGGGGTTGGCACTTGGATAAGACGTCTTGACAAACTTCTAAGAAACGTGGATAGTTTCGATGCCTCTGTTGCATCAACGTCGGTCACATAGTTTTTCAGGTTGTCTTTTCCTTTAACAGACTGCAGCCAAGAAAGTATTTCTCCAAGTAGGTATCGGAGTGAAACTGAGGGAACATCGGTGTGAGCAAGTGTCATTTTCATCTTTACTTCCTCGTCGCCGAACCGCCGAAGTTGATAGCGCTCATTCACATGCGTGAGTGCTCCACTAGAGTATTCAAATTTTGGAGAAACGATGACGGCCAGTTTTGTCCCTGACCAACACACAGACTCGCGTCCACTATGACTATCCACACTGAATGTCTTCTCTATGAATAGATTCGTGTTTGGAACTATTACATCTCTTCCTGAGTGGTAGTCGTGGCAAGGCAGCGCTTGAAGTGGCACAACCTTGTCATCAACAGCCTTGTCCCTTTTGGTACAATCCGAAGAAACTTCATCCTTTTCTTGCAAGGGACTCCATCGATCATCTTCACTAACGTAACTCATCCATGACCGACCGACTTTGAATGAGTTTTTCGATCCCAGAATGACTGGAGCCTTTGCATCGGTGCTGTTAATTGTAGAATATTCACGGAGATGAGGGAATCTTTCGTCAAAGCGAAATGGCCTTCTTTGCTCCATTTTTGCAAATGCTCTACAATACTGAATGTTGACAGAAGGAATGCTGGTACCTGTGTCTGGTACTTTCCCAAATTTTATTTTCGCCTCGTTGAAATAGTGTCGGCTGTTGTTGTGGCCTGAATGAGGTGCTAAACATCTTCTTTTCACTGTGGAAATGCTAGCTGTAGGCATTCCAGTTTCTCTAGCAATTAAATTGTAGTGTTCGCGTAAACGTCCTGCTGAGAGTTTCTTATTTGTTTCTACGGATTCCTTGACGGAAGCGATGTATTTCACGTCATAATGTCTTTTTAGAGTGCGTGAGATGACCTGAATCGGAACTTGTAGCTGAAATTTCAACGATAGTTTCCAAAATCTTGGGATCGAAGTCCATTCTTGGCCTATGGGCGAGCTCTGACTTTTCCCTTTGCGAGTAATTTACTTGCACAAAGTTTCTTCATAACTAGTTTGGCCTTTGGCAGTAGCTTGCTGTCCGATCGCTCAGGGTAGCGGGACCTCACCATATCAAACGCCTTTCTCCACATTTCAGGAAGCACGGTTTTTGCAGCGGACACTTTATCGGTTGCTCTTTCCATGGACTTTTGCTGAAATTAAGGTGTTTCCGAAGATTGAGTCTGAGAATCCAGCGCTCTTTAGAATAGCTTTTCCAATCATTTTGGATTTTTTCGTCTTCAAAAGTTTAAATGATTGTTTCATTTCAGAAAAGTTTGGGTCTAAGGTGTGACGAGAAAACTTTTGGGCGATCTTGTTTTGTATTAGTGCCGCTCTTTCAAACGCAGATTTTTCCGAATCTTGTTTTAAGATGACAAGAGTTAATTCCTTCCTCAAGGATGGCTCTGTTCCTTTGGGTGAATCTTTAATGTAAACCGGTAATGCGTTGCTTCCTGTTAGGAATGACCGTTTAAGATGCTTCCGGAAGGCAAGGGGCCTTCTGGTACGTAACAATCCCTATGGCATCTGTCACTTCCTCAACCGTCATCATCTTAGATGGCGAAGAACTTAGATGTTTAACTATTCGCAGGCGTTGTTCAATATCACCCGAGCAATGTGTCCTTCTAAGTTTTTCTTCTGCTTCCTTTTCAAACTCCCTCACAGTCTTCGTACACGACGAGATCCAAAACCCTTCGTATTGAGTACTTTTACAATCCGCAAGGGCGGCGATACGTCTTTGTTCCTTGCTGGGTCGTAAAGCAGACTTTTCTTTGGCTGATTCTGACGGAAACAACGAAAACAACGATTTGTTGGATCCGCCAACACAATCAAGAATGCTGCTGGCTATCACTTGCGAGCCAAGTGGTCCCTCGTCGAACAGATCAGCCGCTCCAGCTGTGACTTTTTCCCATCGTTTTTTTGTCGATCAAAGCCAATGCACACAAAAGAAGACCGATGCAGCAATTTCCCACCTCTGAAAATACAATTAGGATCAAAATAAATTTAAAACTAAGCAACAAATATTGATAAACATGTTAAAGTGAAGCTGCAATGAATTACCCGAATAGGCGCCAACCCAACTGTCGAATCAACACGGGGATGAACCCTATTCCCCAACGAAATAATCGTAAAGAAATATACCGTGTAGATCCAAAAGTAACGATCCCCCGATACTAACGTCAAAAAGGTTGTGGCCGCTAATTTTTCCCGAAAGTAGCGACAGCTTCTCCTCCCTGGAGCGAGCCCACTGCCACTCCTTGGTTTAAGAAGGAGAAAAAGAGACATTCCTTGTTTCTATGGAATCAGTGTCAGGTAAGGAAAGAACTGCGAGAAAAATTTGAACAAATGGAGCCGACCACTGAGAACAAGGTTTACACGTGAAGAAACAATGCATGTCGATTGGAAGCAACAGGAAACTGGAACTACCGATTTCATCTCATTTTTTCCAACTGTTCACGGAATTCAGCCAAATCTTTGGAGGAAAAAGCTTTTTCCAGTAACGCATTTGGGTTCCCTAAGGTAGCGACCTTCTATAAGTTACGACCCCGAAATAAGTAAGCCTCGAAGGCTCCTTAATCGATCTGAAAGCTACGAGGGTAGTTTCTTTCGGGACGTTATGGGATACCCTGTTCAGGACAAAGAGATCAAAACCCTATACCCTGTCCAGAGGCACATCCTCGCACAGCTCATATAAGTGAGTACACCACGCCCCCCCACCCAAGAACATTCAGGCACTACGTAAAAATTTTTTTAAAAAAAGGCAATTAAAAAAAATTAAAAATAAACAAATAAAATTTTTTGCCCGTTAAGTCAAGTCAGCGAGATGTTTTCAGTTCTACAGAAAAATATCTTTATCCAAAATAAAATTGACGCCCCCGCTAGAACTATTTTTTTTTTTTAATAAATGGGTGTTTAATCTATTTTCGATTGAAATATATAAAGAGCGTTTAAACGTCGACTATAAATAGCTTATAAACTCTCATTGGGCATGGCTGGCTCTCTCTCTATGAAGTGATATAAAATCCTTTTCGTTGAAAAGAAAAAAACAAGGAATAAAAAGTAAATTATCTTTACGATGATTATACAGTATCATTACTTTTACTCGACATACCTTCTTTATCGTCGTCATCTTTAATGTGACTTTTGAAAGGGATCAGAGAGGGTCTCGGTGGATATTTCGTCATTCGTGTGCCTGTTGTCAGCTGCACCACCTCTTCGAAGACAGGGCGGAAAAATTGCAATAGATTGCTCGGTAGATTAGCGCGAAAGCTTCCGTACTTTGTCGACTCCAAATCTGTTGTTAACGACAGATATCCCCACCGCTGGCCTTTAGCAGAGACGGCGCACCTTGTTTTGCCGTTGGTAGTCGGCACCAAATCCTCCACGCGGAAAAGGAAATGCATGTCTTTGTGCTTTGTAGTCCACATGTTTTTTTACTAAGTCCTTAAGTTGTCGCGGATCTTCATACATGGAGCCGGAAACAAGAAAGAACAACTGGTCGTTGTTATCTGAGTTCAAAATGTTAATAAACGATTTAGCCTGTTCTACGGTGATAAGCTCTGCTTTTGACGCATTACTCTCTGGTCCTGAAGTTTTACTGCAACTTTCATTAGACAATACCCTCTCATGATCGGTTGACATGCCATTCGTGGGGTTTCTGTACAAGATAAATGACAAGATGGCAAAAAGATAAGAGAAGAATATTAAGGACGTCGGGCTATAAAAGTAAATAAGAACTCGTAGACGTTTTGCTCGTTGCATCTCAGCAAACTGGTTATATAAAATGAAGTGTACTTCCAGTGTGAGGATTCCGACGGGCATAAATGTTATTCAGTTGAATCTCTTGTGAGCAAACTGCCAAATTATGTGTGTATTGGAAAATATGGACATCGAGTTTAGTCAAATTGAAATGTGTATGCATTCGAGTTTAGTCCAGGTAGTCAGTGACAAATTTATTTTTTTTTATCCAGGCGTTCAATGCAAAATCGCGGCTTTATAAAAAGGCAGTGGCTATTCCTACGGCACCCGTACGCGGACTTCTATTTGCTATTCATACGGGAGTCCGTCAATTTTGCCGATCCAAAATATTATATGTTTGTTTAGATGCACGGGCGATTTTTGTGAGCGATGTTGATTTCATTTACACCAATTTGTTCAGCCTGTGGTATAGTACGCGAACGACTGTTTGCGACACTTGGTTCTTTTTTTACATAATCATATAACTCCCGTACCTGGACTTCTATTTGCTATTCATACGGGACTCCGAAACTTTCAAAATTTCGATCCAAAATATTATATGTTTGTTAAGATGCACGGGGCGTTTCTTGTGAGCGATGTTGATTTCATTCAGAGTAATTTGTTCAACCTGTGGTATAATACGCGAGCGGGAGTAATATGATGACGTAAAAAAAGTCAAGTGTCGCGAACAGTCGCTCGCTTACTTTACCACAGGCTGAACAAATTAGTGTGAATGAAATCAACATCGCTCACAAGAATCGCCCCGTGCATCTAAACAAACAGATAATATTTTGGATCGGCAAAATTGGCGTTTTAAATCGAAATTGTTTGAAAATGTCCGACTCCCGTATGAATAGCAAATACAAGTACGGGTGCCGTACGAATAGCCACTGCGAAAAAACTGGACCGTTTTTCGCGCTCTCATCTTATCGAAAATCATTTAAACGGTTTAGTGTGTCTATACGTGGATGAAAGCAAAAATAAACGAAGGGGAGAGAAGTAGAAAAAACAGTAGTTTATCGAATCTTTGTACATTGTGTAGTTTGCCTAACGGCGTTTGTGAGCAGCGCGCGAGACCCACAGGCAATTTCGCGATCCGCGCGCGAGGCACGACACCCAAAAGAAAACGTGAATAGCCCAATTTCGATATATTAAAATTCAAGTTGAAACAAAAGACATCACTACGATTCTTAGGGGAATAATATAAGGATTTATATGGTTTATTCCCCTAAGAATCGTAGTGATGTCTTTTGTTTCAACTTGAATTTTAATATATCGAAATTGGGCTATTCGAGGGAATAGATATAAAATAAATAAATCTAATGATGAGCATCATTAAGCGTGAAGTTCAACACATTCACAATCTTAGCTTAGCAAATAAAAAAACATCACCACTGAATGGGGAAACTACATGGTCACAAAAAGGCACTGATTCTCATTACCGTCCACTAACATATCCTTGTTGGTGTTCAATGGAACTTGAGTTTTGCATACTAGTTCAGGCTGTTCTGCACTAGGTGGCTCCGTTTCTTCGAAGCACACGTTTAATGGAGGCTGTTCTGCACTGGATGGTTCGATATCCTCGCAGTATTCGCTGGGGATGAAAATGAAAGATTTATTTAACACAAGGTCCGTCATGACCCAAGGTTACCCCTAAAATTTTAATCATGTTTTATCAGTTTACAAACCTCAATCTTGATGCCTTGATTTCATCGGCCATTTCCATCCTAAATCTAGGCATGTCATTCTATAACATAACATAACATAACATTTCAAGAATATTTACATCAGGAACTGAACTTGTAGTTGGTCTTAAAAGTTATGATCTTTATTGAATGGTTTAGTTCTGTATTTTTCTGCATGAAAATTATCATCAGTGTACTAAATTCCAGTATATATACAGCTATGGACATAGGCATAGATTTGCATCCTTGCATACTGTGACGGAAAGATATCTAGTGAGACCAATAAAGTTACATTTTTTTTTTCAATTATGCATTTATTAG